ATAGGTTCAAGGCCAGCCTGAATTCATGCTAGCCATGAAGGATGCAGCACAGGAACAGTATGCCTGAACCCTTTGCCCTTTACGCATAACCATCTCAGCCCAGGAAGCAGCAGGCTGAGCAAGATCCTAACAGGTAGCCTGTCTAACTTAGGCTGGGGGGTGGACAATATAACAGATTTGTTCAAGTGGCAGAGAAATCGAAGACTGAAGGAATGGAGGGTGCCCAGTTGAGAGATGCAGAGGCCAGGGCTTCATAGCCCACTGGAAGGGGTCAGGCATTATCACAGGCCTTAGGACAGTCAAGATAGAATTTAATTCAGTCAGTGGAGAGACAGAGAACCTGAAAAGAGGCCAGTCACATAGATGATGGCTGGTATGTAATATAGGTATCAGGGAAAGGTAAGAATACTTTTTTTGTTTGTTTGTTTGTTTGTTTTGAGACAGGGTTTCTCTGTGGCTTTGGAGCCTGTCCTGGAACTCGATTGGTAGACCAGACTTGGTCTCGAACTCACAGAGATCCACCTGCCTCTGCCTCCCAAGTGCTGGGATTAAAGGCGTGCGCCACCACTGTCCGGCAAGAATACTTTTTTTAAAGATTTATTTATTATGTATGCAATACTAGAATATGGCATCAGATCTCATTATAGATGGTTGTGAGCCACCGTGTGGTTGCTGGAAATTACACTCAGAACCTCAGGAAGATCAGTCCGTGCTCTTAACCTCTGAATCATCTTTCCAACCAGATCAAGGAAAGGTAAAGAAAGAAAGGAACTGAAGAAGACTCATGAGGTTTTGGAAAGCAGAGGCTTCATGGGGAGGTAGGAACAGGACTTGTGGGCTGATTGAGTTTTCAACACTTACAACCACCCAGTGGTGATCTAAGAGGCACTGTGTCTAGCTAAGCAGAAATGGTGTCCTCTCGCCTCTGCACTGCCAGCATCCTGGCTCAATTCAACACAATCTGAATACCAGACAAAGGTTTGTAGAAAGAAGATTGAAACTGGCCTGAAAGGTTAAGTTTACGGTCGACCTTCCAAACACCACCAGAGGGCAGCACCGTCTCAAAGACCAGCCTTACCAGGCCAGGCCTCCTGCTTCCTAAGACTGCTTTCTTAGGGATACCCTGGAGACCTGCTCATAGGAAGAAGGTCTGGATGGGGCAGTGGGTGGGGGCTGGTGGGTGGGATGGCCCATCTGGGTTCCCAGGTAGTGGAGGGAAGGGATGGTTGACATTTCCAAACCCACATTCAGACTCTGGTCTGACAAGTTCTTCAGGAAGATTTTTTTTTTTTTTTAAATAGGAACTGTTCCAGAAACCCCAGGCCAGGGTGGGGCTGTGATCACAGGACAGACTTAGGAGAAGGTCACAGGTGTCTGGTCCTGCTTGAGCATCTAGTCCTATTCTGCTTCAAACTTCAGAGGCTCTAAGAGTGTAGCCCCTCATTCATCAAACATTGAAGCCTGTCCGAGTCTGGTCCTAAAATGGACACAGGGGGACAAGAGATGAACTAGGGGCACTGGAGAGACAATTTAGCCAGTAAAGTGCTTGCTGCACAGCATGAATTCTTCCTTCAATCCCTCATACTTGTACCCATAAAAAGCCTGTCACAGTGACACACGTTTGTGGTCCCAGCACTGAGGTGAAGGATGGGAGTAGAGACTGGTGAATTTATGAGGTTTACTAGCTACCCCAAATAGCCTAATTGACATGCTCTATGTCCCATGTTTCAAAGTAAATGAATTAGGTGGTTGGAGAGATGCCTCGGTAGTTAAGGGTTAGAAGCATGTACGGCTCTTGCTGAGGACTCAGAATTCAGTTCCTCCTATAACTCCAGCTTCAGGGGATCTAACACCCTCTTCCTGATTCTGCCATCACCTGCACTCAAGTGCACAAATTCACACTCAGACATGTATGTATAACACACACACACACACACACACATATATATATATATAATTGTTTTTGTTTTGTTTTTGGTTTTTCAAGACAGGGTTTCTCTGTGGCTTTGGAGGCTGTCCTGGAACTCTCTCTGTAGACCAGGCTGGCCACGAACTCACAGAGATCCGCCTGCCTCTGCCTCCCGAGTGCTGGGATTAAAGGCGTGTGCCACCAATGCCCGGCTATATAAATTTTTTTATTTGTTTGTTTTTTCAAGGCAGAGTTTCTCTGTGTAGCCCTAGCTGTCCTGGAACTTGCTCTATAGACCAGGCTGGCCTTCAACACAGAACTCCATCTGTTTCTGCCTTCCAGGTGCTGGGATTAAAGGCATGCACCACCACTGTCTGGCTTATAATTTTTAAAAATTAAAAATAATCTTAAAATTAATTAACTAAAATAAATATACAGATGACTTATGAAAATGATATCTAAGATTGATCCGGCCTCCACAAAAACACACATTTTAACATAACATGCACTCATACACCCACATGAACTCATACACACAATGTTGTAACATACAAATTCACATAGGAGAGAGATGAACCATGGAACTTCAATTACAGTGGAAGATAAGCGGGTATCTCCCCTCATATATCAACATTTCTGACATTTGGATGCAGACATGTAATAACATAGTGTCTGCCCTCCCCCCACTGTAAAACTTACAACAATGGATGTTTTGATTGGTGATGGTTGCAAAATAAAGTAACGGGGCCTGGTAGTAGTCAGTGTAGAATGGAGCATGTGTACAGTTAGGGTCTGGTTAGGGAAGGAGGCCCATAAAAGAGCTTCAGAGTCCAGAGGAGAGCAAAGGCCCAAAGCAGAGAACTGACAACAAGAAAGGGGATTCTCTGGGAATGGCGGGAGCCAAGCTAGAGAGGGTGACAGGGTTCCATCATTTGAGTTTCAACTTGCAGTTTAAGAGACTGTTCGCCTAGGCCAGGTACTAGAATGACAGGTTTCTGTGAATTTGAGACCAGTCTGGTCTTTATAGTGAGACTCTATTTCAAAAAACAAAATACATCAGTCGCAGAGGCAGAGGCAAAGGCAGAGGCAGAGGCAGTTAGATCTCTGAGAGTTCAAGGCCAGCCTGGTCTACAGATCAAGTTCCAGGACAGCTGTCCCAAAAAACAAAAACCAACAAGATAGTGTTCATACCCCTAATCTGGCTTAGGCAGCAGAATATCAGTGTCCAAAGTGCCCCCTTAAGACTTGACACTTGAACTGGGTTCAATTCCCAAACCTGCATGTCAGCTCACAACTGTCTGTAACTCCAGTCCCAGAGGATCTGACACCCTCTTCTGGTCTCCACAAACATCAGGCATAAACATAGTACACAGACTATAGAGACTACTACATACAGGCAAAACACTCGTATACATAAAATAATAATAAAAAGCACTTGACACTCTCAGCCAGGTGTAGTAGCACACAACTTTCAAATCCTAGCACTAGGGAGGCAGAGGCAGGCAGATCTCTGAGTGCAAGGTCTTCCTGGTCTACCAGAAACAAAAGCAATACTTTCCACTCTTGGTAGACTTTTGGGACTAGACAGCTTCTGTGTGGCATTAAATGGGCAGTAATCCCATCAGGTCTGGATTTGGGAACAGTCATTCTGATTAGAGCCTGTATCAGCAGGGCAGTGGTTATAGGGATCCTGAGATATGGACAGGTCAAAGGGTTCTCAGGAGGCTGTAGAGATGAAGCAGGGAGGAGGGGAGGATAAAGCAGGGGTCAGGGGAAGCAGCCTGCGTTTTGACTTGGATGTGCAGGGATATCATCTACTGACAGCCCTCCCATCTGATTTGTATTGATCCAAAGCAGTGAAGAAGTGCAAAGGGAGTAGGGCGCTGGTTTCGCTGGCTTGTGAACTGGAACAGGAATCAGTTTCTACGGTCCAGGGCTGGGCTTGAAGTGCCCTGACAGGTTGGAAATCAGAGAGGTGCTCTAGAGAGGTGTATGTGGTTTTCATTTGTTTGCTTGAGATGGGTCTCACTCCGTAGCACTGCCTGGATTTGGCCTTACAGAAGGACACCTGCCTTTGCTTCTCAAGGACTGGGAGGATAGGATAGGATTATGATAAACGGAGGCACAGAGGAGGTCACCAAGCCTGAGGACTTGAGTTCCATCCCTAGGGACACACGAGTTTAAAAAGAGAGAGACTGATTGTTAAATTGTTTGTCCTCTGACCTCCATGTGTGCATAAGTAAGTAAGTAAGTAAATAAATAAATAATGCAATTTAAAAAAGTTCAGCCCTCATCGGAGTGTGGTTTGATAGCACACACATTTAATCCATCTCAGCACTTGGGAGACAGAGGCAGGCAGATCTCTGTGAGTTAGTGGCCAGCCTGGTCTACGTATTGAGTTACAGGACACCAATGACTACATGGCAATACCCTGTCTAAAATAAGAAAAGCAACAACAAAATGTTCATAGTATTGTCACCCATGAAGGTGTGATCCTGAGAGAATGTTCTGAGATTTGAGTCTGGGATCTTGGTCGGTGTCAGGATTCTTGTTATGATCCACATTCTGGGGCCAACGCCCTGCTGGGAGCATGGAGTCTAGCATCCTGAGATGCGATTCCAATTTGTGGCTCTCCCTTAGGGTCGTCCAGAAGTCCTGGGTGCAAGACTCTGGTAACAGCCCAGGACTGCCATCCGCGTCCCGGACCCGAGCGGCGCTGCCTCTAGGGGGCGCTGCCGCCCGCCGGCCCGCCACCCGCCCGGCTCGGCCCCTCGGCGGCTCGCTGGCGCTGTGCGCGGCAGGCGGGGCCGGAGGCGGCGGCGGCAGCTCCGGGCGCGGGCGGGCGGGCGGGAGGGCGGCTGGTGGTGGTGGCGGCGGCGGCGCCCCGACTGCAGTCCCGGCGGGAGCGGAGCGCGAGCCGGGCCGGGCCCGAGCCGGCGCCATGGGGCGGCGCCGCCTGTGAGCAGGCGACGAGCAGGGACCGGACGGGGCGGCGGCGGCGCCGAGGCCGACAAGCCGCGCGGGCCGGGCCGGGCCGAGCGAGCGGGAGCGGAGCGGAGCCTCGGGCGGCGGGAGGAACAGCGCCGCCGCCGCCAAGATGGCCGACCTGGAGGCGGTGCTGGCCGATGTGAGCTACCTGATGGCCATGGAGAAGAGCAAGGCCACGCCGGCCGCGCGCGCCAGCAAGAAGATCCTGCTTCCAGAGCCCAGGTGAGCCCGCCTGTGCCGGGCCCCACGCGCCGACCCGGGTACCATACCCCGAGGACCCCTCTCTCCCTGCCTTCTCAGGCCCCGGGGACTCCCCCTACTCCGGTGACCCTCTGTCCCAGGCCCCGGGGACCCCCCTACTCCGGTGACCCTCTGCCCCAAGGACCCCACTATGCCGGCTGCCCCAGTACCAGAGGACTCCCCATACTCCTGAATCTTCTGCCCCTGAGACCCCACTATCCGGGCCGCCCCAGAACCCGGGGACTTCCTCTCTTCCTGCCACCGCAGGCAAACTCCAAGCTCCCAGCCGAGCTTCCCCGGCCGCGCTGCCGCTTCCTGTATCTCACTGCCGGGCCTGGTCACTGTCAGCCCCTAGCTCTGCTGCAGCCTTCCTCGCACCCTGGGTGCTGGACTCTGCCCTCCACCCTTTGTGTCCCCTTGGGGTTCCTTTCCCCAGGTCTGCCTCTGTTTACCCAGTCTGTTGCTCCTGCTCCCAGCGCCCCTCTCTTTGGCGTTCCACTACCCTATCGACTCCTCTCAGAGTGGGTAACACTCTTGTTCAGTTTGTGGAGTGGGGAGGACGAGTCTGGAGACTTTTTTTTTTTTTTTTTGCCTTCTCCTCCGGTGGTGTCACTGCCCTTGGCTTGGGTTTGAGAGTACTTTTGGGGGACAGTGCTATGTGGTGTGTGTCCATCCCTCGGGGCCGCGCTCAGGTGAGGGAAGTCCCTTCTTCACCGTTTTCTCCCCATGTGGTACGTTGTGGGTACTTTTGACCAGGGGACAGCCCATCCCACAGCGAATGGACCGTGCTGCTACCTCTCTGAAGTCATTGCACCTGGTATCAGAGTTTAAACTATTCAGGATGTGGGTGCAGAATCGGGCAGGATGTGAGAAGTGTAACAGGGGTTTGTCCAGTTATTGTGGCAAATAGACTTATCTTCCCTTTTGAACTGCACAGGAGACCAGAGAGTGAGTGAGACAGGTGTAGTTTTGTGCCCATAGAACAAGGTGTGTGTGTTGGGGGGTACAGCTCACACGTGAATGGCTTGTTCAGTGTCACCCAAGTATCCGTGGTGGCACCTGGCCTCCACATCAGGGTTTTCAGCTTTTAGTTGTATCTTTTGTTCACTGTCTTGACCTGAAGGGTGGCCTGGATGTCCCACATCTGGAAAAGCAGATGTGTCTCCTACCCATCAGGATGCCCTATGGTGAGTGGGTGGTGAGGTCCGTTCCAGAAGCTTTTCATGCCAGTCCCTTTAGCAGCCAAGAACTGGGCCTGATGTTACTGCCATACTCTTGTCACAGGACCTTGATTGTTACCTCTGAAATGTGGGCAGGGTGAGACAGGCCTTTGGGGGCCCGGTTGTTGGAGCAGGGTTGGCAGTTTACAGGGACACAGTTGTGCGCTCTACGCCCCTCCTCCAGTGGCTGCTCACTGGGTTTCGGGTTGACTAGAATCAAGCCCAGTAGAGGAAAAATTGGTCTGTGTTTCGAAGAGGCCGTTGGGCCCCCCTTTTTTCTAAGACATTTGCAATCGGCTTTCTCAAAACAGGAACTAGAAGAGTGTCAGCCAGGGCTGTCTAGGGGCAGCAGCAGTTAGGACAGAATGAGTTCAGAAATGACAGAACTTCAAGGGAAGGGCAGGGGAAGCAAGCAATTAGCGTCTGGGGTATTGTCTGTCTCCTGGGCTGCCACAGCCACGAGAGTCGTGTGCATTTCTCAATGGGCCCTGCCTTGAGTCGCTTCTGCAGGCGTTAGAACCCTGATGGGTGAGCTGTACCTCTTTCCCTAACCTTTTCATCTGGTGGTAGCGGTGATGGGATGGCAATGAGGATGGAGATTTTAATAATTCATTATTTATTTTGACATCTGTCATCTCAGTTGATCCAAAAACCAACCAGCGTGTGAAGTTGGCAGAGCCCTGCCTATGTGGACCAGGATGGGGTGATAATCTGTGAGCAGAATGGAGGCAGGCTGTGAGTTTTAGGAAACGGTACCATCAGTATTATGTTGTTGAGCCGGTTGCTCAGTCTGGATGGTGAGGAACCTCTTAACTCTGAACACTGGTATACTCAGGCCAGGAAAGGACCCTGAGTCACCCTGCAGTGGCCGTGGCCCCAGGCATGCAAGCCTCCCAAGATGGAAAGCAGTCACCTTTGTGACAAGATGGAAGGCAGTCACCTTTGTGACACATGTTGCACATACTCGAGCCATATGTCTCTTGCCCTTGAAGGTGGTTATGGTCGTGTCTCGCGTTTGCCCACTATGTCCCAATTTGCAAAGTGTCTTCACAACTGTGGTATGCTGACCCAGCAGGTGGCATTTTCCTCATTTACTAATGACCAAGGTCTCGAGGCATGTCATACAAAAGATCTGGCATTGGATTGCAGACTTTTGGGGTCCTAGCCGTAGTACTCTCCCTGTCTGCTTTTTCTCCTCCACCCACTTTCGTGTAACTGGCTGTGGGTGGGATGGTGGGCACCCCATGTCTTGGGAGCTGTGGATCTGAGGTGGCTGCCTGAAAGCAGCAGGGCAACTTCGGCTACCATCACCTGTCACAGTACACAAGACCTAGTCCCTTTGCCATTTGCTGAAACAGATGCAGGCTGCCCGCCGAAGCTACATGCCAGGAGCTCCATCATATACAGGGTCCTGCTTCCCCACCGTGAATTCAGGGCTCGGGAAAGAAGCAATGGGGTGCGTCCCTGTCCAGTGTGCCAATGGGAGTTGTTCCTGCTTTGGGGTGGGCCATCTTGGCAGCCTCTTTGTGGCTGGTGCCCAGGGTTGTGGTTTGGCTGAGCTTGGCATCACAGCTCTTATTTCCCAGGGCTGGAGAAATGGGAACTGTTGGGCATAGTGCCACTGTAACTTGGCAAAGGGACCTCCCCTTCTGTCACCTAGAGGATCTGGGGAAACAGACCCATTCCCCGACCTTCTCACAGGAGGGGGTTTTGTGTGGATAGAACATAGAAGTCCTGACTCCTCACTCCTGCAATACTGGCTCACATGGCCCAGGCATACGAATCCTGACTGGACCAGCTTCAGTTTATCTGCTTTGGTTAAACCAGGAGGCTGGTCCTTCACCAGTGACCTCCTAGGGCTGTGGGACAGTGGTCTGGGCCTTGCCCTGCAGAAGCTGTTGCCTCTTTCCCAGCAGCTGCCGCAGTCTTATAATTACCATCATTTGCTTAATATGACCACTGAGGCCCTGTGTAATTAATCTTAGGCAGGGCTCCTGGTTGAGGAGCCCTGCCTGGGCGGTCCCAGGAGATGTCCCTGCTCTCCCCAGTGACAGTGGCAGCCCCAGCAGCAGCTTGTGGGAGCTGGGTGCCTCTTGCAGCCTTCTGGTTCTCTGGGCTATTTCCTGGTCCCTCCCCCACCGTGAGCTTCCTCCACTGCTGCCCGCCCCTTGCTTGTTTCCCCAGTCTCCTCAGACCCTTCTCTGCCTCTTCGTTCCTGTTAACTCCTTACAGCCAGGACTTCCTGCCTGGATTGGTGGGGGAGGAGCGCTGAGAAGAACTCTGCTCTTCTTCCTCCCTCTACTTCTCCATCTCTAGCACAGAGCCTGCCGCTGCTGCCTTATCCCTTACCAGAACATTCCACTCCAGTAGCAGCGACCCACCCCTCCTGCCCCTGAAAACAAGATTATCTTTCTGCAGTCTATCCCTGCGGGCCTTTGAAGCTGCTGCTGCTCCCTGGGAATGGTGCTCTGAGATGCTTTTTCCCATCTGTCCTCCTCTCTGGAGCAAGGCTCTCATGGATTTGCTATTAAGTTGCTCAGCTCTGCCTGCTTCTCTACTGTGCACTCAGTGAATGGATCTGAAGGGAGCATGAGCATCAGAGGTTGGGATCCGCACACAGGAATCTGGGCTCTGTCAGCCTGGGAATGATGTGTCCTATTAATGCACAAATCCATGCTGGTAGTAAATCCTGGGTGACGTCAAGTGCAGGCACGCACTCTGCAGCAGCTTCTTGTGCCCAGGTTGCTGTGTAGGGAGCTGAGAGCCCTGGAGGCCCCAGGGAGTTCCAGCTGCCTGCATACGACTGTTGTTCTCAAGGTATTATGGAATAAACAGCAGAAGCAGAGAGTGTGTGATGGTTTTTGAGAAATGCATAACCTCCATCATACCTGCTGTTTCTCCCTGGGCCCCTTTCCTACTCCCCACTGTCTCCTAAGGCCATTTCCTCTTCTGGACAGTTACACTTAGGTTATTTCAGGCCCACTTCAAATGAGATTCTAAAAGCAAGGCGTTTGGCAACAGCATTTTTTCAGTAACGGCATCTCGTCTCGCATCACTGCTTACTGAAAAGGGCGGTTTTGGTGATGCAGACGTGGGTGTTTGGTGGTAAAATGGGGGTCACTTTTCTGAGGGTGGAAGTTGCCCTGGAATTGGAATGGGGAACAACTGGCTTCCAGGGATTGCAGGGCAAGAACCCCTAGAATTGTGTTTTCTTTTTGTTGTTGTTTTTATGAGACAGGGTTTCTCTGTATTGTTTTGGAGCCTATCCTGGAACTCACTCTATAGACCAGGCTGGTCTCGAACTCACAGAGATCCACCTGCCTTCGCCTCCCGAGTGCTGGGATTAAAGGTGTGAGCCACCAACACCCAGCTGGAATTGTGTTTTCAAGGCACACTAATAGGATGTCTACGCCTTGTGTCATTGTAGGCAATAAGGTGTAGGGTGCCTGTTTACATCTTGTTTGTGAAGGCTGAAGTGTCTTCCTGAACATCCTGCAGGAGAACCTGAGAGTCTGGGGTTCACTGGACGTTGACCATGGGCTCAGGGTCAACCACTGTTGTTCTTTACTAGCCAAGGATTTGCATGGACATGGTGGCCACAATTGCTCTTTCCTCTCTGGTAGTGGCCCCATCCTTGAGCTCTGAGAACATTGTCGGGCCCCAGGGAGAGTCATCAAGAAATATTAATAAGAAGCCCCAGGGGACTTCCTCCTGCTGTTGCCACCTCTGTGCCAGGTTTCCTGGAAATGCTGCCAGAGAATA